CGAAGCGCTGCACAACAAAACACAAAGAATAAAAACAGTAAAGGACTACAAAATGTGGTAAAATAAAAACAAGAGACAGGATAATAGTAGCAACAAAAGACTGAAACCTATCTAAAATTAAAACTAGAGTCAACTCGCAGTAAAAACTAGATTTAAATTATGCTTTTCAATAAAGATTTCAAATGAGCAGTCCTTATATGTAAGGGGAGGCTGTTCCATGATTTCAGTCCGATGTCGGTACAGGATCTGCTCGGGTGCAAGATCGGCTAGGGGTCCTTCGACTTCAGATGACGTCAAAGTAGCTGATTGGCTGAACATGAACCTTAAGGAAGTTACGTTACGTTGTTATCACGTTACGTTGGTCCAGGCAAATGTTTCTGTTGGAAAGATGGACAACTTTTACAAAGAAATCCATCATTACCTCTTTGAAAATACACTTTTAGCATAGAGCTGCATGTATATTAGGGCTGAACGATTAATTTCATGTGCAATTAAATTGCGATGTGACAAAAGGAGATTTTCCAATCTCAAAGGCTGCAATTTGGCAGCGAGTGGTTAGCGCAACGCTAATATACATGGAAAAGCCCATAGGAATGCTAATGCTAATACCACCGATTACATTCTTACAAATTATGAATTAGAAACGTGCCAAATGATTACATTTGGAGTCTAATAGAAAGTAAAACTACCATCAATCAAATAAGTACAGACAGGTATTTTAGTAAAGCCAGAAAACTTTTAACTCCAGAGTTTTGGCTAGCAGCTATGAGCGTAACTGAACTGGACAAGACGTCAAAAACTCTAAACACAAAATACTTCAATAAACGGGACACACTTCTTTCCTGCAAATACAATTTCACAGGTGTTGCTAATACCTATGATCCTTCAAGGGATGTGCTCAAAGAGGAGTTCAACATTATGAATAAAATAGTGTTTTATTTTACAAATACCATTATAAACACAAACTTACGTCGTAAGAAACATTATTTTAATAACGAAACTGCTAAATTCTTTCCAACAGTATTGATGTGTAGTGTATTTTGTCCGCGTGGGTTTGGCGTACTTTGTCGTCATCGGCAGTCGAAGGACCCCGAGCCGATCTTGCACCCGAGCAGATCCTGTACCGACACCGTCTGCAGGAAAGGCCCTTTCACCAAGGATCCTATGACGAGATGTGTAAACAGTTACCAGGGCCTGCACTAGAACGCATGGTTCTGGTTGGAACGCTGTAGGAATGAGTGCCTTGTAAGTCCTTCTGGAGAAAAAGGGGGACGTAGAAGTCAGTCAGAGGAGAAAGTGGCAGAACACGCAGGATTTTGAGTCCAATTTCCTGATATTTTGACACGTCACCTCTGATTGGCTAACAGCAACGCTGCTCTAACACTGATTCTGTTTGCTTTGCAACACTATTATTCTATCTCCATAAGTAACTCAAGCCTGGAGGAGTTCTACTGTGTGGTGGAGTTGCTCGTGCTAACGGTTAGATGGGGTTAGATAGAGGATTTTCACGTTCAGCCTGTTAAACTCAGAGTGATCATTTTCAAAAATATGAAGTAAAAAATGGTTTCTCTGTGAACTTGTTCTGATTCAAAAGTAAATTATATTCTTTGAAAAGTTGGGCAAAGTTTTGTTTGGTTGTTTAAAACAATTATCACGTGTTCGATGGAGCATATTTTATTATTCCAGGGTGAAAAACAAACGTGGGTTATACTGAAGTGCAGTTTCTGCGTTCATCCACGAGGGGGCAGCAAAGGCATGCAGCTGCAAATCTGAACGATTCAAAGCGTCTCAGCTTTCCGCGTTTCTGACATTTATTTAATTAATCTGGGACGCTTACTAACATGTTAACTCATTTAGACACACACCACTAGTAGGAAAACAATAAACCTTTAATAATAAACTCAGAAGACAGCGAAGAAGCTGCACACAGACATCTAAACAGTCACAATAGATGAAGTCTGATGTGTAAATTTCATCTTGGTGTTGATAGTTAATGGAGACTTTATTTGTTTTATGTATCAGATTATGTATTTATATGTTTTTAATGTCTTTTGTTTAAAATAAAATATATTTTGTAAAACAAATACTTGTTTTTTTACGGGAAAATCAAAAAACTTGTTTAATTAGAATTGGAGGATGTATAAATTTGAGTTTTAGTTCTGAAAATAAATAAAAATAAAATAAATGTTTTCTTTTGGGGAGGAAAAAGTAAAAAAAATGTTGTTTTTTTCCAGGAAAAGTAAACAACACCTTATGTGGAGGGTCTATAAGAGGCTCATCACCCCTCTGAGTGTGTGTGTGTGTGTGTGTGTGTGTGTTTTATGGGGTACTCAATAAAAGCTCGGCTGCGATCCGTCAGTGCATTCATCATCCTATTACGGCGACAAATCCGGCTCGAGCACATGAAAGGTAAAATGAATTACCAACGTTAAGCCGTCAATAAAGTCATTTCTGTAAATGGTGTCTCCGAGGGGCCCCGCTATTATTCAACAAGCTTTATCAGCACCTTGGAAATTACGCGGCTTGTAGCGCGGCCCCTGCCTCTCTTTGATTAAGGGCCCTGCCACGGAGCGCTGACAGCGCTTTGGCCTCACCAGCCTTTTATTTTTTTATTTTATTCTGTTTTATTCCGCCAGCCCCTCCCGTGACGCTCCGCGTCCAGCCCGAGCGAGGACTAATTAAAAGCTATAAATTATCGTCCCTCCCTCTCGGAGCGCGCCTCTTCGCGGTGCGAGATAAGCGCGGACTGAGAGCTCATTTAGCAACAAAAACGCGGCATATTGATGCTGTCCTAATTGGAATTTAATTAAGTAGCCTTGGCTCCCTCGCTCCGGGCCTGTGGGATGAAGATTTCACCGCGTCACGTCCACGCGCTCCCCCCGTGGCGTTATCATCATCATCATCATCATTATTATTATTATTGTCTTAAACAGCCAATTAGAGCTTTATTCTCAGATCAAAGGCCAAGTTATCGATGGGGCGCATTCCATTTTCTGTGGGACACACTTCCGTTGGGTCACCATAACTGAAACGATAGCTGAAACTGAAGAGGTGTGAGCACCAGCTCCTGAACAGCCTAAGTTTGGGGAAATTGGGATCAGTTCGGATATTGGCCAACAGATGTCGGGTCACTTACAAAGTTTTACAAAGTGATGCCAGGCTCTTGTAGTAAACCACATTAGTGTTTACAGTTTATCAATATTACATCATTTTGAGCAATTAGTGTATTTATTTAATCCTAAGTTTTAATAAAAAATAGAAACATCTTCAGATGTTTAGTGATACACATATATTTTATTTATTACATTTTAGTTAAATTTTTTTGTACTTATTCAATTAGATATAATGACTAAAACCAGCTACTTTTCCATTAAAGGGTTAAAAATCCGAAAAAGTGCATCTAAATTTTCACTACTAATAGCTGATCAATTAAACAAAGTGAGGTTATGTTTGAACCCATCCAAACTGTTGTTATTTAATGATTTCTGCTTAATAAGTAAAAACGTTTCTACACGACACCTGTTTTTGTTTTACCTTTAAAAAAAGTTTTATTTTACTGCACAAATATTCAGGCAAGTTTCTACTGACATCCCAGTCAAAAGCAGCTTGATTTCATTACAGATGGCCACATAATTCTACGTTTTTGTAAACTCCAATTAAATAGAATTTTTTTATATTAAACGCGATTTAAGTAGTTTTATAACATTCAGACGAGCCGTCGTTCAGCTCATCCCTGTTTTTCCCTACTGAGGCTGTTCAAAGAGCTTTCAAGGATTTTTATGAGAACCTCTGACATAATGAAGAGGTACTTTTAAATGAAATGTCGTGTTACAACCCAAACTTGAGGAAAAAATGTGATATTATTTGACCACATTTTCATACTTTTAGTTGAAGTAATTTGACTGTTTGTAGATGTTGGAAAAAAATTACAAAGTTGTAGATTTTGTCCACTTTTTGCAGAATTTGCTAAAGAAAACCAACCTGATACCTATTATTGTTAATGCTATCCATATTTTAGCCTTAACATTAGACACAGTAAAAGTCGCACGTGCTAGGTCAAACAAATAACCCAACCCACAGGGAGGGCTAAATTTAACCCTGCAGATACCAAAATAACCCAAACCAGGATGTGATAGACCCCTCCCCCCTCCCCCCCCACACAAGTCTATGGATAAAATGTTGAAGCAAGCTGGCTATATTTACAAATATCTATCCACTAAACATTAACTCTTATATTTTAATAATTATGGCATCAGTTTATAATATTTAATGACCCACTCTGTGAAAGAAAAACTTATATTTTCTTTTATTTTGGGGATTTTTTAAAATTCTTAGCAATAAGGGTTATGGCCATGTTAAATAAAAATAAATATTTCAGGAAAATAGTCTATCTAGCTCTTTATTTGAAAAAATATTCCAAATAATTTTGTATTTATTTTTGCATTTGCCCTTTAAGTCAGGACGGTAAACCAGAATTTAAAGTCGTATATAGTAAAATAATGATCATGCGTCTCAGCGTTTTGTCAAAAAATCCAATTTTTCAAAAGTTCCCAATAATGTTTTCAGTAACATTCGGTGTTTTCCACAGTTCCAACTTCAAAGTCAAAAGCATAATAATAACAAAATAATAATAATAACATACAGAAGCGCGGCTTTTTGAGTGACGTAAACTAAACACGTGTCCAACATCAAAGGCATTTATTTATTGAAATAAAAGAACCACTTGGTCCAAATCAACTTCAAAGCCTTTGTTGTTTTTATTATGGTGAGTTTTAGTTTTGCTGAGTGAATGTTTATGCACGTGCGCTTTCTTATGATTGATCCGCGCGCGGAGATGGGCACGCGCGCACACGTCCGCGGAGCGTTCTGGGCAATGATTGGTCCACTTTAATTGTGACAGGTACGATCTCTCCGTCCGATTGGTCTGCAGCCCGTGTGTACGCGCACACGTGCTTCCGGTTGGGTATATCGTTGTGAAAACACACACGGGGGGGGGAGGTGGGGGGAGGCACGGTTTTAGGGGAGTCTGAAGACGGCGAATGCAGAGATCTTGTGCGGCGCCGTGGAGGAGCAGAGACACTGCTGACTGTGTGGAGCTGCTGGCCATGCCACGTCTCGGAACCCCATCAGGAGACGTGGTTCCGATCTAGGCGGCGTTCTAGATTCTGATTTTGATGCTGCTCGTCTGATCTGGATACCGAAGAGGAGAGAGGGAGCAACAAGTGGAACTACAGCTTTCGCACCATCACCCGCGATGGAAGAGCACAAGGAGCCGTGCGGCGGCCGGGACTCCACCGAGGACGAGAGCATGTCCCTGTCGCCCAACCTCCCGTCCCCTGCTATGGTTTTACCCCACCAGGCGGCCCAGCAGGCCCACAGAACCACGAACTTTTTCATTGACAACATCCTCCGGCCGGACTTCGGATGCCGGAAGGAGCCGAGCTACCGCGAGCGGAGCCAGACGCCGGGCCGGGAGAACGTGAACCCGCTCGGGGCAGCGAGGCCGCCGCACACCGGCAGCCTCTGCCTGGACTCCAACTGCAGCAGCGACAGCACCGCGTCGTCGCCCTCCTCGTCGTCGTCCTCGTCGCCCGCGTCCAAGCAGACTTCGTCCAAGCAGGGCGAAGCGGCGAGCAACGGGACGGGACGATACGCGGACAGCCCGTCTATTATGGTCATGAGCGGCGGGAACGGAGCCTCCCCGCCGTTAACGAAGGAGAGCCAGCCGCTGCTGTGGCCCGCTTGGGTTTACTGTACGCGGTACTCGGACCGGCCCTCATCTGGTAAGGCACTAGTAGTCCCCGGAGCACAACGGGCGGGATGTTTGGTTCCGCTTACAGGCTTTAAATCATATTATTATTATTATTATTATTATTATTATTATTATTATTATTATTATTATTATTATTGTTGTGTAATGGGTGCAGAATAACTCAGCTTTGAACAGAAATTCAAAATCAAAAGTACATTTAAAACGTACCTCACTCTGTTGAGGGACATTAGTACAATAATAATATTAATAATAGCAAATTACATAAAAATTAAGGTTCAGTAAACACTAAAAGCTACATTTTAAAAGTGTTACTTTGAATAATTAATTTAAAAAATCATTATTTCCATTTTTCTGTTGTACGTGATTGGACTATCATAAAATGTGATTGTGGGCACAAATATGGGTAATGGTAATTATAGAAAATATGAAAAATATTTTAATAAAATTGCAACTAATTTAACAGCTGTTTACTATATTCTAAAGTATTTCCGTAGATGCCCTTTTGCACAATTTCACTTGTTTTCTCATGATTGTTGTTTTTTGGACTAAAAACGTATTTTCCGACATTGTCATTAAAACACTTAGCCAACATGAAAATGTCTGTTTGCTTTAATTCTGAAGCACTTTGAGCCCGAGGCAGATGAATGGTGCAGGTTATTCTGTGTTTGGAATCAAATTATGATAATTTAAGAACTCCTGGAATATAATCTGAATAGGAAATTAAACAACAAAATCTTGTATAATCCCATATTAGGGGAACACCTAAATGTTGGCGCTCTTTGGTGTGCCCAAAGATTGAGTGAGTAATTAAATAATTTAAAGTTTTACTTATATTTTTGGGGTTACTTTAGTTTTTTTACACGAAAAAATCTAAACACATTTGCTGCTCTAATGCCTTGTGTTAGATGCCTTATCACTTTACACCTGTGCTGCTGTAAATATCTTTATAATATTATTTTATTATTTATAAGTAAAAACTTGAACGTTATATTAAAGCTAAAATCACCCAGTTCACTGAACTGTGGCAACGGGTTCTTCCATGTTTGGGCGCAGGTTCATGTAAACATCAGCCTGTTCTTTTAAACAGCTCTGGAGCTTCTTTGTGTAACATTTACGACATTTAACCTGTTAGAACGCTTATGTCTCGCGCTCATTTTTAGTTGTTTTATTCTAATATTGCCGCCACTGAAAGCGGCCGCGTGCTCCTTTCTCTGATTGGCTGAATTCTCTCACCCGTCACACATTATTAATTAATAATTAGCTTTACTGCGGTGCCTCGTTACCTTATCTGTGCGTCAGCCCGCTGCCTACAAAAAAGCTGATAATATTTTAGCACGTTTTTGAAGTATTTTAAAAGCGTTAGCTCGTAATTCTTGATTTCAGACAGGCAGCCAGGTGTTCTGTCAAAATGTTTCCCCCAACTAAGACGGTTATATTTCCAGCTACGTTTGAGTGTTTACCACGCCAAAAATGTAGACTAGAAGAATAAAAATCTCTGAATCTGTTCTCTATAAAGTAGTAATTCGGTTGAATACTTCACAAACGTCTTATAATTGTCTTATTTTACCAATAATCACAAATGAAACACACTTTTAATGCAACATTAATCCACAAAGAGGTGCTTCTCCTCCTTAAATTATTAAAAACTGAATAATATATTGTTTTTTTTTTAAAATTATTTTTAAGAAAGTAGCTGATAACCAACAAGGTGGAGGAGGAAACGGAGCGGAAGACACTTTTCGACCGTGGAACACATTTCTACACAACACCTGTCCGAACAGAACGCACGTTAAAACTAGCTTATGTTTATTAGCTTATAAGCTAATTATGTACGTCATCTTTTAGGGACAGGAACTATGGTAACCCAGACACGATACCGACCCACTTTTGAGTTTTGAAAGCAGAGAACGAGGCGCAGTAAGTCGGTGTCCTTGGTCCAGCCTTATAGAATAAATATTTTATTTCCATTGTTGTTTCCACACCAGGCCCAAGGACACGGAAACTGAAGAAGAAAAAGAGCAGCAAGGAGGACAAGCGGCCCAGGACCGCGTTCACGGCCGAGCAGCTGCAGAGACTCAAAACCGAGTTCCAGGCCAACCGGTACATAACGGAGCAGCGGAGACAGTCTCTGGCCCAGGAACTCAACCTGAACGAGTCCCAGATTAAAATCTGGTTCCAGAATAAGCGGGCCAAGATCAAAAAGGCCAGCGGCTACAAGAACGGCCTGGCTCTGCAGCTCATGGCGCAAGGACTCTACAACCACTCCACGACCACGGTGCAGGACGAGAAGGAGGAGAGCGAATGAGCGGCTCGGTTCGGTACGGACTCTTTCCCCCACACGGACACTGGGGCCACAAACTCTTTACTGGTGGAGATAAACCGGAAACGCTATTTAAAAACAACAACAACGAAAAAACAACAAAAAAATCTGTTTATGATAACAGTATATGGACATAATTATATAATTAAAAGTTTATATAGCCACACAGTTATCATGTTGTACACAGCATTATCTGAGTTTCAGACTCATTTCTCATGCGGTCGGTGTGTTTTCTTGCGAGTTTTTAGGATGTCTGGTTTTCTAGATTATCGTGCTCTTTCTCTCTCCCTCTCTCTCCCTGTTCCCGCCATTGTTTCCATCCACAAACCAGTCCGCAGACTCAAAACAAGCCAAAGATTTTAATATGTTCACATGTAGTCTAAAATAAAAAAAGAACGAGAACAGACGAAATTATTCTTTTTTTTTTTAATTCACGCAGATAAATAAAATGGCATCAAACTGACTTAAAATGAAGAACCGGAGCTATTTAAAATGCTGCAACATGTTTTAATTGGACACCATAATTAAAAACAAGCTTTTAAATTCTCTAAAATACAACTTTGAATGTATTGGTTGGATTATAAATGTAACACGCTGGTAAGAAGCCTCACACGGTTCTTGTTTATCGGCTTGGGATGGCGTTTCACCCATTAAAGCTATTCTGGTTGTTTACAAGCTTCCTCCTGCTGGGGTTTAATGAAACTGATATATTTACAGTCCGGTCCGCAGAGGCCTTGTTGTCATTAGGAGGGAACACTGGGCCAGTCCGGGGGCCGTTTGACCTTTTTGGCCCTTTGTGACCTTGGGTGGAGGCTGGCCAGGAGCTGCCGTGTTCAGTGTCTCAGTTCAAGCAGAGAAGCGTGCGTGAAATTTATAAAATATTTAAATTCAAAACAGGAAAATAGTAATTAGCACAGTGATGTGAATCGGATAAAGATGAGGGATTTTTAGAAACATTGTTAGTCATTTTAATTTTAATGAGCTATGCTAGTAAAAATCAACACGTTAGCAACAAAACAGTTCCGGAATACGGGGTTTTAATTTTTTCTTGTTTATAACATTTTAAAATAAAAGCTAATCCAAGCCGTTTCTTCCTATAAACGTACAGAAAAATATTTCCCTGAAATCACCTTTATTGCAATTTTTGGTCAATATTTCACTTTGTTAATATGTCCACTTTTCCGTAAATCATTGGACGTAAAGTTGTATTTATTAGGCGTCATTTCCAGTCTGACTCCAGGACGGTTGTGCTAGCTCCATTTCTGGTTATCACACACATTCAGCTGATCTCTGTTCAGATTATTTAATTAAGCACTAACGAGTCTGCTGAGGAGTTCGCTGCTTCCGCCTTTCAGCCTCTTTAATTATTTCAAGTGCTGCGTTAGGATCAGCTCGTTCTCGTGAGCACCCGGAGAAGAGAGAGAGAGGGAATAATTGATTCCAGTGGCAGCCAGGGACTAAAACACTGTTCACAGCAGCTTATTCACACCCAGTCGTGTTTGGATTTAAAAAAAACAGCTCAAACTTTCAACTTTTTAGTGCATTTTCTCATTTATATTTATTTATTTGTGTCTGAGCCTGCAAAGATGTACAAAACCGAACTTTGTCGGTTTAAGAGCAACAGAAAATTACTGCAAAAGAACGCTAATTGAGTAAAATTTCTTGGATAAAGAGACAAATTAAAAATAATTACATTTTTTTCTGAAACTTTTGGGGGAAAATTAGAAAGTTTTTTGACTTAGTTAGAAAATTATTATGAAATAATTATTAGGCAAAATATAAGCAAAATAAGTGCAGTTTGACCGACTTTATTAATAATCTTGAATTATAGAACAATACCATTTGTTATTACTATTTTTATTTGAATTTTGACCAACTTTCACACAATAACAGACTAATTCTAACATTTATTCCTAATATTATAACCAGTTTTAGGGTTAAACCCTGATTTTCTGGGAATGCATCGGGCAGTTGAATATCAACCAATCTATAATAAATGCCAACTTCCCTCCAGCCACTGTAAACCCCCAGAGTCACCCCCTTCATTATTAGGCCTAATTTAATGTCACTATCCTTTTTGTAATTTGAATGAATATTCATAGAACTTTATTTTATAACAGAATTTAATTTATTCAGAACAGGAGAAGTCTTCCTGCATCAGAAATCGACGCCTGCGTCGTTGTTGGACTTATTGGTGTTGGGGAATAAATCTGAAAGGTGGTGGTTATGTTTAGGACACACACACACACACACACACACACACACACACACACGATGTGATTGTGAATGCAGCCTCTGCAGCCATCTGGCCTGCATGTGTGAGCCGAGGTGACGAGAGCGCCTCGCTCTTCACGGTCAGCTAACCCTGTAGCTCTAATATTGTCATGATGGTTGCACTCCCCGCTGCGAATGTGGAAGAGGCTCTTATGACAGTGTATTTAAAATTCATACAATTATGAAACAGCGGGAGGATTTCTCCTCCCCTCAAGACTCCCTCCCACCTTGTCATTGCAGGAAGCCGAGGGTTTATCTGTAAAACAAAGAAAAGCCAGGGATCGTTTGCATAGTTAGCATAGTCTGCCTCGCAGGCACAATATGGATTTAATTTATATGCAAATGAAAGCAATAAAAAGGAGAATACACACTGGAAATCTTGGCCGTTTAGAAAAAAAGGGTGTGTGGGGGAGTGAGAATTGGATTTAGAGCAGGTATGGTGCACAGCCACAGAAAGAAGCATTAGAGAACAACAGTGATATAATAAATTCAGAAACTGCAGAACAATGCCAGATCCTGAAGAGTTACACACAATTAAATAAGATTAACTGGGAAATTTTACGAGCCACAAAATGCATTAAAAACAAGTTCAAATCACCTGCTTTCCTAAATCTGATGGATTATTTGTATTAGCTCAATTCCTGCAAGTTGGAGTTAAATCATAATGCAAACGTATTTAATAAATTAAATCAGAAGTTCTTTTTTATCAGCCGTTGTTCCATTAGTAAATTACTGAACAGTAAAAAAAAGTAAATAAAATTGGCACTTCCTGCCTGCAGTGGTCCACCAGAGGGCGGGGTGGAGGATTCACGTAGCAGATGCGGACCGGCATCTATTCGGTTTTTGCAAAGATAAATCATTGGATCCAATCAGAGCATTTACATCGACTGTGGTGCGATGAGGATCTGGATGGAGAGCTCCTGAAAGTTTCCGCAAGTGGTCAGTTTTTTCCAGATGCCGCATACAAATTTTCATGGAGATAAAGAAATTACGTGAGCCAGACAAGAAGTGAGAGGCGTGCTAGCAAGGCGCATCTGGTATATTTCTAAATAAAAGTGGTTTTGTATTATTTATTTTTGGATTTTTAAATTATTATTATTATTATTATGGTAAACTATTTTATGGTCTATGACAGTTCGTGTAAGTATGTCAAATGTTTAGCATGGACTAGGGGAACACCTGAGACTGCAGATTTGCAGGCGTTCTGCACTGTAAGCTGTACGGAAGTCGGACCACATCCGTTCTGTACTTACTGTAAATGAGGGGTTTTCGAGAATTTACTAGAAGCGTGCATTGGCAAGAATCTGATGATATGATATGAATCACAATATAGCGAAACTAAAAGCCAGACGATATTTGCAAGTTTTTATTCAATTGGAAAACCAAGATCAACGCTTCCAGGACACACCCAGTGTTATCTGCAAGATTGCAAGGTTGTTCCGTCAAAATGAAGGCAATAAACGGTTTGAATTACACCACATAAAAGTAAGACAGTAAACAAAAAACAAATCGATGCACTGCTTTTAAAAATTGATTCAGCATCATAACCCAAAATATAACGATATATATTAGTATCAATATTTTTGTACATCCCAATAATGTACTAATGCTGTTAAACAAGTAGAGCCCTTAAATCACAATAATACTTGTATCAAATCACAAATATGCATGAAAAAAAACCTTTACTGAAAAACGTATTATATTTGATGAAAGTATTTTAGGAGCTCTACCTCTTTACCAGGATTAGCATGTTCCTAAAATCTGTTTCATCTTTTCGGACGAATTTGGCACATTTATTTGCGTAAAAATGATTTCAAACTCGAGCTTTGTTTTGAGTTTCTGTGCGCTTAAAACAATTTCTGCAAGGGTAAGTTGATCATAAAGCAACATTTTAGTTTTCTTTTCTGGCGGATTCATTTAGCGTTGAACGGGAAACAGAAATTCCCCGCTGTAACACCTTTAGATCCAGGACAATTAGAGCGGTAGACGGTGACGCGCAAAGACTGGGAATCCCATCAGAAATGTGCAAGCTAGCTAACCGCCTGTCACTCAGACGCACATGATTGGTTGGGTTGGTGGTGGGGTTGGGGGGTTTGAACAGTTTTGTTCCTGCATCAGGAAAATAAACATCAACACAAGTGGATGGAGCTTTGAGCTCCAGTTGGACATAAACACACAATAAAATGCTTCCATGCAAAGGTGCACAAGCATGCACAGGAAGGATGAAACAGTCCCCTTGGTTTTAACACACACACACACACACACACACACACACACGGAGAGAGAGACAAAGCCATTTAAAGGAGCTTCTTAGATCACTACCCTGTGACGGCGAGGTGCTATGTGGAGTTTTGGAGGAATTCCTTCCCAGCTGCTGCCTCCTCTTTGAGAAAGGAGGTCCTCCATGTTTTTCCATCTTCAGTCTCGTTTCCCCACTCAGACTAATGCGGAAATGTTCATTCAGACCGTGCACTCACATACAAATGACTTTGAACATTTCTTTTATGCTCGTTCTGTGATTTTGTCAACATGGTTGACGTTTTAGCTATTGTTTTAATTTAAACAGATATACAACCTAAAATATAGTATTAAAAAATGTACACAGATAAATGCACAAGACACACAAGTATAGAGGGTTTCTTTTAATTTAAAGAAATCTTGAGAAGAAATTAGGGTTTTAAATTCATACAGGGTTTCAGCATGAGTATTTTATAAAATTACACTTAAGTCTTTTGTGTAGGTCAGATAATTTAAATAAATAACTTACAGAGACAAACTTTTAAAATTGAATTTTACAAAAGGTAAAATTTTGGTTTATTTCTAAATATCTATTTTCATAACTGAGCATCTTAGCATGTTAGATTCACCATTAGCAGATGTTTGCTTGGAATTGTATACAAGATTAGTTAGTATTTACAGTGTATTCGAGGGTATATTTATGAATTAAACAAAAAGAGGCAAATATATCCACAAGTAAATTTGGTTGCAGTTTAACTTAGTTAAAGCTGGTTTAGGCGTCTTTAAATAGCTTTTAGTTGTTTAGGTAAAATACATTTAAAATGTATTACTTTGACAGACACTATGTTGGATTATTGTAACCAAAACAAAATAATTATTCAACTTAAACCTTGCATCTCGGCACAAAAAGAGATGTAGAGCTATTTAGTTTCATTTTCAGAATAAACTTAGAAATATTTATTCAGTTAGATATCAAAATAAATAACAGTAATAAATAACATTAAAGAAGTGAATATAGTAATTAGCATTAGCAGTGTATGCTAGCTTTGTTCCAGTTGGAGATATAAAGAGTACATTTCCATTTGACCCTGGTTATGTGCGAGTGTTTCTGCTTCAGGAGCACGCAGGCTGGTTCTCACCACGGGGGAAATTTACTCCTGCCTTATTGTGGCCTGTCAACAGGACCACGCTATCTCAGACTGACACCCACAAATGGACAAAGGTGGCATTGAGAGGGAACCTCCCACAATGCAGCTGAGCGTCCAGGGGGCTCAGTGGTCCAACAGCCATGATCTCACCACACTAAATCCAGATTACATGGAGGATATACACAGCGCCACTTGTTTACACCGCCCGTCAGGGTGTGGTGGTGGTGGTGGTGGTGGTGGGGGGGGGGGGGGGGATGATTTAAACAGGGCGAGTTATGAAGAAGATGGGGTTAAAGATACTGCAAAATATGTCAAAGCGAGCAAAAAAATATATCGCTCTTTGAACAAAATCACCAATGATGCGTATTTATATTTTAAATGGCTTCTTGTGTTTTAAACGCACGTCAATGAAACACTTTCCTGGATTCTTTCATTTCAATCAGAATATTTTAAAGGCAGTTTTTTAATGAAATTGGTCATTTTATTTCTTGTTTTAGGCAACAACAGCTCTCAAAAAATATTTCTATATTAGAATAAAGATTAGCTTTTTGAAAATGACCTGGTACAGTAAAATGAAATTTTCTAGGTTTAATTTTAAATGACAGCTTTATAAAGATGCACACCACTTTACTTGCATATAGTACATTGATATAAAGAATCATATTCTAAATATGGACGTAAATTAAAACTTTATTGAATAGAAAACAAGGACGCGGTAGATGCACTTGTTTCTTTTACGGTGAATTTCCGTAAAAGTACTTTTAAAAAATTTTTACTCGCAAACACTAAACTAAAGCAAAGGCACCTGGTGTTCTTCTGAAGTATGAGTGGCCACACACACACACACACACACACACACACACACACACACACACACACACACACACACACACACACACACACACACACACACACACACACACACACACACACACACACCTCTGCCTCGTCTTCTTCATGCCTTCCACATGTGGAAGCACTTT